TAAGTTTTACTAGTGTCAACATCATTTGACAGAAAAATGTAAACAAACAAACAAAGAAATTATCAACAAATTATATTTATTTTGAAAATGAAATATTTTCGAATCCTTCAAATAAAATTTGAAAAACATGAATGAAAATCTATCAAATTTATATTTCTATCCGTTACGATTTCATAATGGAAATCAATTCACCATAATGGATTTTGACAGCAAATTTAAAAGGCAGCCGATATTCAGCTGGTCTCCCTGGATAACCTTATTTATAGGCCTCGTACTTTTGCATTTACTTTACTTTATGCCCTCTGTAATACGAAAACGTATCAAAAACTCGTTCGTTAAACGCAAATATCTTGCGTTAACAAAATAGCAATTAAAGGTTTTATTATTTTATAAATTGTAAATTATTTTAGGGAAAGACCAAAAAAGCTACAGACATCAACGTCAGTTCCAAACTTTAGTAGATTTTATGGTGCAGTACAGCGATTTGGCAATGCTTCAAAATCAACATAACAGCCAATCAGAAGATGGCATTCCGGTTGCTATTTTTACTCGTTCAAATTTCTCGTGTGAAATGTTTACAAAGAGAACGCCATTTTGTTTTGTGATCTCTTAAATTTGATACAATAGGTGTGTCTCAAGGTATATTTAATAAGGTAGCCGCATCGGCACAGCTGTTGGTGCAAATAAATGTCAAAGATGTTGTTGTAATGTAGAACCAAAAAAAAAATAAAAAACAAAATTATAAATGAAAAACTCCGAATTTTGAAGAGATTGTTGTGTAAAAAAATCTTATGAATCTGTTTATTTTGGCAAAATATTTTTGACATGCGGCTACCTTATATATCTACCTTGGTGTGTCTGGTTACTTTTCCAGTAACATTTACTCAGTAAGTTCTAGTTCAGAGAACCTCCTCTTTGCGATAATACTGAGAAAAGTAAACAGACAAGCTTTAGTAGGAGTTAGACAATAAACAGCTGATTCAAGAAAACATTTTTATTTGCGCCAAAATAAACAAAGGAATAACAATAATAGAAGAATTGATTTGGTATGTTCCCCGGAAACATTTAAGCTTTCTGAATCAATACATTGACATCTTTCTGGAACTTGCCAAAAAAAAAAAAAAAATAATTAGTTTCTAATTTAATGAAACTTTGCATTACATAGAAATTTCTTCCATTTTCTGTAGTAATATCATCTGTCCGCCTCTCCATTATAATTTGTAATCTGATTATCATGATCCGAATCAAATGGTGATTGAAAAAATTATCTTCTGAATACACAATATTAGCACTATTTTGAATAAACGATTCAGTATGTGTCGACATCTTTCAATGATTTCCCTTGATGAATTCTGGAAATTTTGTATGTATATACGGTTCTGGCATAAGTGAACTTCTATTGGTTTTGGTAGTGTCCGGTTTATATTTAGAGGACACAATTATGACTCAAACACAGGAAAATTCGGAGATGGGGATCTGGCCTACGAATTAATATAACTGTCTTCATAATAATCGTTCAATATTTACGGCGTCAAATAGATTTTATTTGAAAAATCGCTAACTTTGAATTGTATCGCTATGAGGCCGCATAAAGTTCAAAGATGTCACAAATGGTGATGAATCAAAATCCTTATTCTCTCTATTTTTGTAATAGACCATATATATAGTTCATATACCATATATATATAGTTCATGTGGAAAGGTTCCATATAGTGTCAATTTGAAATGTTTTACTCCCTCATCATAAAGTGGAGTGTATATTTCATTTGTCACAGCCCTTTCTTTCAGCCTCATTTATTGTAGCTTGTCGTGCATCTACAAACTCTTGAGACTTACATTTAACATAGATGTGTAGGGTATACCAACATTTTGTTCTGATTGGTTGAATAATTTCTTGTAAATTAAAACACCTTTCACGAAAATCTTTCCAGTTTTGATGTAGCCCTCATATAAAATTCCTGTTCGTTTTTAGATATTTTGGTTCTTTCGAAGTAAAACGGGAAAAAATCACGAAACTTCAATTTTATTTACAAAAATTAATTAATTTTTTAAGGCGAATTAAAAAGTACAACAATTCAACATCAGATACAACAACAAACATTTTACAAAAACAACATTGCTGTTATAGAAATTAAATTGTCATGCTGACAAATAGGTTTTGACAAATGTAAATAAAAACATTTATACATTTCTTCAGGTCGAATAATTTTGAAAAGTGTCCCACATGTAAGCCTTGGTTCCTTGAGGATTTTGCTTATATTTTAAATTACAATATAATTTTCGAAGAAGTGGCTTCTTGGTAGAACAATTGTAGGACATATATCCCCGGTCAAGCACCACAAACCCGTATGCAATCTGTCAATAGACTACGCAACAGAATCTATTTTTAAATTGTAAAAAAATTTTATTTAGCCAGGTCTTTGTAGAAAAGTAATGAACAGATTCTAATACAAGCTTGATTTTGAGGGAAACAGGGGATTTAGGGGCAGATTTCCTTTTCCTTAACAATCTCCTTTTGGTATTAAATCGATCATAAGCACACACATATACATATGTATATTTGCAATCTGGAACCCAAGTTGTACTTGTGGCAAATATGTGGAACAAATCAGCGGCCGGATTTAGAACTGATTTAAGCTCACGCTTAAATCAGTTCTAAATCTTGGGGCATTAATAAAAATTCCGTCCCTATAAATTCATTATTATTGCACTTTTTTAATAAAAAAAAAATAATCGAAAACAAAAAACAATATTTTAAATCGAAATGTAACGTTGACAAATATTTTTGACAATTTACTTTACAAACAATACAGAAAAACCATTTAAAACCATATGATTGTCACTTACACCTTATTAAATACACCTTGCATCTACCTTGCTTAGTACCAAATAGAAAGAATTGAATGTTAAATAATATTAATATTTTCGTTTTGACGTTTAACATAATTTTGTATGTTTAGGTTTCAAAATATGATTTGACAGCTAAATTAATACTCCGACCTTATAATAGGACTTGATCCAGTAAAATCCGATATGTAGGGGAGACTGGGGCACCTTCAGCATCGGGGCACCTTCGGCAATAGCGTTTTCGATATGAAGCTCTCACCGTACATCACTAGTTTCGATACATAGGTATCGAGTATCGAAATAAATAAATGACACAAAGTTTGGAATTTCTAGCTAATAAGCTTATTTAGATACATGGGTTTTTGTATTTTTATAGATGTTTCTGTAATATTTCAATTCCATTTCGTAAGTATTTCGTATATAAAACTTTTGAAATTTTTAAGACAATATTATTAAAAAGAGGTTAACTACGATGTGTATTATTATAGAAATATTTAAAAATATAATGTTTTTACAAAATTGATCGAAAAAAATTAAAAAAACTATAAAAAGTATATTCGGGGTACATTCGGCAATATACAGATTGTGCAATATTATTTCCTTAAAATGTTTTTGAGTTTGTCTTTAAAACTAATCCTTTAATATGGTTCGAAATTGCATATATAAGATCAAACGTGCTTGTATTGACGAAAATGCGATAGAAAACCCCTATTTCTGATGGTGTGTGTGACCTTGAGATGTAAACGTCCGCTGCTAGAAAATAAAGCCCTATAATTCAAACATTGTGTGGCGTGTTAAAACCAAATCGAGCCTTAAGAGGATCAGAATTTCAACCAGACTGATAGCGATGACAATTACCCGGCTATGACTATGGTGCCGAATGTGCCCCATCAAATGCCGAAGCTACCCCGGGTTGGGGCACATTCGGCGAATTTGACTTTTTTTACAAAACTGTAAAATTTTTTAACTAATACTATTTTTTTATATCTTTTTGGTACTATTTTTTATAATTAAGTGTCAGAGGACAGTAATCAGCCATAAAGTTGTTATATATGTTGAATAAGTTCTGAGATATAGAGCTCTAAAAAAAAAGTGCCGAAGGTGCCCCAGTCTCGCCTATGCATCATAATGTGTATTGGAAAAATAATAATTTTTAATAATTTAATATAGTTTATGCTATAACACAATATGTAATCAATAAAAAACGCATTTCTAAATAAAAAAAACAAGTATTTTTCTATACATTATAACCTTTTTCAATCACGTTCTTCTTTTTTCTCCAAATAAATACAAATTAAATTTTTAAAATATATTCCACCTAATTGTCAGGCACTGTATATTGAAGTGTATTGATCATGGTACAATTATAAAAGGTAACAGCAAATCCCAGTTGATTTGATTCCAACGTAATACTAGTGTCAATATGAATTTGACAAATTATGTTTCTAAAAATCACCCAACAGGAAAATTGGGAACGCATACAATTTGAAATTTTTCTTTATTAATGTGCTCCCGTATTCAATTTACTCAATCTGCCTGCTGGGAAAGTTTGAGGAAACAAATATTTCTTGAAGGAATAACTCGCTATTCCCAGCATTGTCATATGTGTTAAACATATATATGGCAATGGCTCAATTAAAGGAAAGATGTGGAAGCTATAGAAATATAAATTTGATAGATTTTCATTCATGTTGTTCAATTTTTATTTTGAGGATTCGAAAATATTCCATTTCCAAAATAAAAATAATTTGATGATAATTTGTTTGTTTGTTTGCATTTTTCTGTCAAATGAGTTGACACTAGTAGAACTTACAACAACAAATTTCCATGTGGTTGTTGTATCGTTTTTTGTACAACAACACTTGCTGTTACCTTTTATTATTATACCATGTGTATTGATATATTTGAAAATGTAATTAAAAGATTGACACTTTTTAAAGGATATTTGCTACTTTTTCAAATGTGATACTTTTTGTGACGCTTTTTACCAACGGTCACAGTGATTGTGTTCAAACAAACATTGTCGCCTGCCGGCATTATTTGAATGCATACGCCGTCGTCGAGTACACTTCGGCATCATACTCTGCTCGCGGGTCTCGGTTGCTAACACGTTTTCCCCGTTCGCTATAGATTCATATTTTCATATAATTTTTGCGAATTGTTTGTGCTTTTTTATTATTGGTTATAATTGAATTTGTAGCACACAGGCTGTGTGGTTTCTCACTGAGTTGTTTTGTACACGGAAAAAGTAACAAACCCTAGAAAATATGGATCACCAAAAGCTGACGGAATTGTTGCGTGCAACAATTGATCCTAATCCCGAACAGAGGAAGGCGGCAGAAGACCAATTGGCACAGGTTAGTACCAATTGCAATATATATTTTAAATTAGTACTAACTGCTGCATGCAAGAATTGTTCAAAAAATCGATAGAGGTTACTTTTATCAAGTCAGCGGAGGAACAATCAATCAATTAACTTAGTGATGACATTAAATTTTGTGCTTCTCTTTTTCCGGCATTTGTGTGATGACATGACTACAAAAACATGTGCTTTTCTTCAATTTACTTATAATTATTTTGTGGGGTGTGTGTAAATGACTTAAAAATATACGAAAAAGAATTAAATCATAGATTATTATTTGTTTAAAATCGATATTATAGTTGCGTCCTTGGAGATGTGGATACGTGTTTCGTCCTTTCGATAGTGTATGCTTTGTTCTATTACTTTGTGTGTTGCTGGCAATAAAAGACAAAAAAGTAAATTTGCAAAGTCCAATTAGAAGGCAAACACCAAATTTTTGACATATGACAGTGTTGTCATTGTTGCGTTTTTTGCCATTGCTAACAAATAGCTAGGTGCCGCCAAAATATTTGTTTATATTAAATAGTTTACAAAAACTTTTCAAAGAGTAAATATAAAACGTTTTGAATGAAATAAGATTCTGGGGAGTTATAGAATAAATAAATTCATTAAGAGTGTTTAAAATTTTATAATATATTTTTAAATCATGTATTAAATCTAATAAAGATTTAATTAAGCCTGGCACTATTTAAGTCATTAGAAAAGACTTACAATTTTAATGTGAAACATTAGTTCTAGGTATTTAGAATACACTGAGATCATCTAGACAATGTTGTAGGCCAAATAACGAGAATTTCCAATGAGGGAAGAACACATTTTTTGCCTCACAGGTAAAAGTTTTCAAGCTAATCCTCAAAGTTCTTACATGTAAAGACTTTTTTCCAGGTACCTTTGAAAAAATTCATTTAATATGCTAACATTTAGAGGAAATACAAGAGTCTCTTTTCAAAATCATTGTATGTATCTATCATTACAAAATTTTTCCCATGCGGATGTTTTATTTTAGTACTGGTAAAAACTTTCAAATTTATAAAAGAAACAAAAGTATCAAAAATATCAATAATAGTATTTTTTTTTTTTTTTTTCAAAATGTTCAACAGATTTTTTCAAATGTTGGTATTGATATGATAAACGATGAATATCATAAATAAGATTTTTTTATTTTTTACGACTATACACTGTGTTCTTCGTGCACGTGGTTTCTTTCATTTATATTGTACATAATTGGAATATCAAATTAATTGCCTATTATTCACAAGAAGTAATTCTCAAATGTACATCCATATATATATCTATGTACAAGCATGTGTGTGCACATTATCTAATTGATATGATGAGTATGTTCATTTTAATATTTATTTCTCCCAACTTCCTCCCGCAATGATGACGATTATTTTTATGTAAAATGTTATTTATAGATGGACTTTGTTTAAATTAATTTCAATTCTTTAGCTATGACTCATATATATATAATTATTTCTATTATTTTTCTTTGAAAATCTTATAATATGTAACGTTAATGATGTTATTATCTTTCTACAATTTATTTAGATACACAAAATTATTGGTTTTGTACCAACAATTTTACAAATTGTTATGAACAACAATGTGGATCAACCTGTTCGTCAAGCTGGTGCTGTTTACTTGAAAAATATGATTTCGAATAACTGGGCTGATCATGAAGTTCAACCCGGCGAACCCATACCATTTTCCATACACGAACAGGATCGTGCCATGATCCGTAGCTCTATTGTAGATGCTATTGTACATTCTCCGGACATTTTAAGGTAACTAAATAAATAGTTTGTGATAATTATTGCAAAGAAAATCGAAGTACTAAAACATACGTTTAGTTTTATTTCAATTTAACTGATCCCATTTCACTAAAAATTTGATAAAAAAAAATTATCAAAAAAGTTTTAAAACTATTTCATAGAATTCAAACTATCATCCTTTTGAACTATTGGTTTTCATTTTCATTAAAAATACAAACTAAATATTTAAAATCGTAAATATTAAATCAATTTATTCAATTGTACTTAGTGTTCAACTGGCTGTGTGTCTAAATTGCATTATAAAAAATGACTTTCCTGGTCGTTGGCCTCAAGTTGTGGACAATATTAGCATTTATCTGCAAAATCCCGATATTAAAGGCTGGAATGGAGCTTTAATTACCATGTATCAATTGGTCAAGACATACGAATATAAACGTGCCGAAGATCGTGCGCCACTCAATGAAGCAATGAATCTACTTCTACCAATGATCTATCAACTAATGTTGACCCTAATGAACGATCAGTCGGAGGCTTCGGTACTGATGCAAAAACAAATTCTCAAAATTTACTATGCTCTAACGCAGTACAGTTTACCTTTGGAATTGATAACAAAGGACATCTTCTCGCAATGGATGGAAATATGCCGGCAAATTGCCGAGCGACCTGTGCCCGACTGTTCACATTTGGAGGACGATGAAAAGCCCGAATTTCCATGGTGGAAAACTAAAAAGTGGGCTTTGCATATTATGGTGCGCATGTTTGAGCGGTAAGTTGGTTGATATGAGAACATATAAAAAAGGAGTAAAAAATCTGACAATTTTGTTAATTATCAGTTATGGTAGTCCACGCAATGTAGTCAGTGACAAGTATCAGAAATTTGCTGAATGGTATTTGCCCACATTTACTCAAGGCGTTTTGGATGTTTTACTGAAGATTCTAGATCAATATCGTAACCGCATCTATGTTTCGCCCCGCGTGCTGACCGATGTTTTGTCTTATCTTAAGAATGCGTAAGTATTCTGCAATAATAACTGTTTATTTTGTTCTTAATTGATTTATTGACCCATTTTTATTTTAGTGTCAGCCACGCCTACTCCTGGAAATTAATTAAGCCCCATATGGTTGCTATTATTCAAGATGTACTCTTCCCCCTTATGTCATTTTCTGAACAAGATCAAGAACTGTGGGAATCTGATCCCCATGAATATATTAAATTGAAATTTGGTAAGAATTAAATTTACTTGACAAATTATAAACTGGAAAAATAATTAAACCTTTTCTAAATGTTTAGATATATTTGAGGATTACGCTACTCCAGTGCCCGCTGCTCAATCATTGTTGCATTCTTGCTGTAAGAAACGTAAGGGCATTTTACCCAAGGCCATGACAATTATTATGCAGGTAAGAAAAACAATAATATGCGATATTTCGAGGGGAATTTCTCTAAAATACTTTTAGTTAGTTCGTAGTTTAACATAATTTTACTAATTTAATTTTCTACTTTTCAAAGATAATCACCTCTCCAAATGCCGACAATAAGCAAAAGGATGGCGCTCTACACATGATTGGTACATTAGCCGATGTCCTATTGAAGAAACGCATTTACCGCGATCAAGTTGAAAATATGTTGACCACCTACGTTTTCCCTGAATTCCAAAACCCTGTTGGTCACATGCGTGCCCGTGCCTGTTGGGTTCTTCACTACTTCAGCGAAATCCAATTGCAAAATCCTCAAATATTGGCTGAAATTATTCGCCTGACAACCAATTGTCTGCTGAACGATCAGGAGCTACCCGTTAAAGTCGAAGCCGCCATTGGTCTGCAAATGTACTTGAGTTGCCAAGACGATGCGGCACAGTATTGCGAAGCACAAATTAAAGAAATCACCAAAGAATTGCTTACAATTATCCGTGAAACTGAGAATGAAGACCTTACAAATGTTTTGCAAAAGATTGTGGGCACTTTCTCCGAACAATTGCTGCCCGTCGCCGTGGAAATCTGTCAACATTTGGCCACCACCTTTAGCCATGTTTTGGAATCTGAAGACGGAGGCGATGAAAAGGCCATCACCGCTATGGGTCTGTTGAATACCATTGAAACTCTTTTGAGTGTAATGGAGGAGCATCCGGAGGTCATGAGCAATCTCCATCCCATTGTTATTAATGTTGTGGGTCATATATTCCAAAATAATATAACTGATTTCTATGAGGAGACCTTCTCGCTAGTCTATGACTTGACCGCAAAAACAATATCCCCCGAAATGTGGAAGATGTTGGAATTGATTTATCAGGTATTCCAGAAGGGTGGTATCGATTACTTCATTGATATGATGCCAGCTTTGCACAATTATGTTACCATTGACACACCAGCATTCTTATCGGATCCATGCCGTTTATTGGCCATGTTCGAAATGTGCAAAACTGTAAGTATAAAAAATATATTTTTCAAAGACCATATTTTACTAAGAATAATAACTTTTTTCCATTTTATTGTAGATGTTAACTACCAACCCAGGCGAAGATCCCGAGTGTCATGCAGCCAAGTTGTTGGAAGTTATTATTCTCCAGTGCAAGGGACAAATTGATTCTGTAATACCGGCATTTGTTGAATTGGCCTTGGGACGTCTAACGAGAGAAGTACAGTCCTCAGAATTGCGTACCATGTGTCTGCAGGTTGTAATTGCCGCCTTATATTATAATCCCCAATTGTTATTGTCGATTTTGGATAAAATGTCTCAGCAAAATAATGAGTCCATATCGGCACATTTCATCAAACAATGGATACATGACACCGATTGTTTCCTTGGGTATGTATTATCAACATTCGCAGTCGCATACAATTTTCGCAGAAACTTCAATTAATCGTTTATGTTTTCGTTGCTGCAGTATTCACGATCGCAAGTTGTGTGTTTTGGGCTTATGTACTCTCATTTCGCTGGGAGATAGTAAACCACAAGTATTAAGCGAAGTTGCTGATAAAATTATACCATCTTTAATTTTATTGTTCGATGGACTTACTCGAGCCTATGAATCACGTGCTCAAGAAGAGGAAGAGGAGGAGGAAGAGGACAATGACGATTGTGAAGGTATGTAATTGTTGTTGTTTTGCTACATCATAAATCTATTATTATTAGCATAGGCCATTTTGAAAATTCGATGGAAAGTGTATGAAAAGTACTAAACTTTACTAAAATTAATTCTATTGTATATATATTGACAACATATATAGCTAGAATCTTGAAATTTTATATGAAATACAGGTGGGGAAGTGGTGTTGATGTATGGAAATGATTTTTAGAAATTCGTACTTGTGTGCATATAAAGTACTAAATTTGGTACTATTTGCATTTAGTTAACAGTATAGAGATGGAATCCTGAAAATAGGAATTAGGATTACTATTGGAGTACAGGATTGAGTTAGTCTTAAAAAATCGTACTTTGGTACCTGTTGAATATATGTGAAAAGAAAGAGCCGGAGTGTTCAAATTAGGAATTAAAATGACTGTTGGAGTGTAGGATTAAGGTAGTTTAGGAAATTCGTATTATGGGTATGAAAAATACTAAACGACGCTAAAATCAGTATAATTTAAATTTTGGGTGAGCGGATAGAGTTAAAAACATGAAATTTGTAATAAGTATTACTGTAGAGGATTGATTCGGAAATTATTTTTTTTAAACAGCATTATATTTGGTACAATTTGTATTTGGGTGAACGGAGAGAGTTTAAAAATTAAAATTTTGGAATAATGGTTGCTGTTGGAGTTTTAAATTGAGATATGGAAGTATAGTACTTATGTGTACTAAATGGTACTATATTTGGTACAACATGATTATGTGTGAACGGGAAGAGCTGGACTCCGGAATTTTGGAATTGGAATAATTACTGTTGGAGTGTAGAATTGAGGGAGTTTTGAAAAATTGACGAAAAGTAATAAATGGTACTAATTTCGCTTCTCAACAAAACAATAATAAAATAATAAAAATAAATACTAGTCCATTTACATTTTACCAGCCCACAATCTTCGCATTTTTCATTGGCTTTGGAGGCTTTAGTATTATCTGATGAAATAAATAAACAATATAGATCATGAAATTTTCCTTATAAGGAGTTCTATCTTTCACAGTTAATAACCTTTTTTCAAGCTTGTATTAAACAGAATGATTAATTTTGATCTCTATTTTTTCTCTCATTCCTATAGAGGCTTTGTCTAGCGATGAAGATGATATTGACGAATTTGCTCCCGACTATTTGGAGCAAATAGCCGAGTTCAGCAAAACTAAGGCTGCTGAAGCTGGTTTTGAAATGAAGACTGAAATTAGGTCTGACGATGAGGACGATGAAGATGAAGAAGATTCAATTGATGAATTAAACGAAACTGCCCTGGAGGGCTACACTACTCCCCTAGATGATGAAGAGGATGAAAATGCTATCGATGAATTTGTCACGTTCAAAAACGTCATTGCTGGTAATACACGATCTCATAACAAATAAATGTTACAGAAGTATTTACATTATCATTGTAATTTTTTTCAGCTCTATCTACACAAGATCAGGCCTGGTATGCCTTACTTACATCTGGTTTGACACCAGAACAAACAAAAGCTTTACAAGATGTAGTAACGACAGCTGATCAACGCAAAGCCGCCAAGGAATCGAAACTAATAGAAAAACGTGGTGGTTTCGCATTTACCCAACAAACAGTACCATCGACATTTAAATTTGGTTCATAATAATTATGAACCAACAACAACCATTTATCATCGTACAATGACTTTTCAAACATACATACAATTTCCAAACAAATATATATGTCTGAATGAAATTTTCATTAAGTAATCAATAATCGAACACCAAAAATGTTCGCCTATTTTTGTTACAAATAACGAAACGAACTCTATCTGTCCATGCAATTGTGAGAGAACTTTCTGGTTAAAGTAACTTATAAAAAAAAAACAAACAAAACAAAAAATATATATCAAAGCATATTGTAACTTCGCTTTTTCTATTTATTGTATATTCATTATACAAGTACTCAACAAAACACCATTTTGTAATATTGTAAAAAAAAAATGTTCCAAATAATTAGTTTAAACATTTCTGATTTCATTTTGAAGCAACAAAAATCTATCATAGATTTTTTTATATGCATCTGAACATAACAGTCCTTGGAACTTGTTGACTCCTCATTGAATGAGTATTATAAAAAATATTGCATGCAGTAATGGTCAAATAACTAAATCCCAAGGTATGTTTTGTTTTTATTATTATTTTCATTCTGTATTTAATTTAATATTTAATTTTTGCGAATTGTTAAATTCATCATCGACTTTTTGTTGACGTAAAGTTTTTACTATTTAAAACAAAAAATGGTGAATAAAATTGTATTCATCTCAATTATCAAATCAAGTTTCCTTTTATATACATACACACATGCATAAATCACACACACTCAGTGTAATTTTTTATTTAAAGATATTTGCAAGAAACAAATGAAAAAAATATAGATTTTTAATATGTTTATAACAGAAACAAATCAAGTGCGGCTTTTATTTTCTTTTCAAAAGTGAGTATATCTATTCATATATTTATTCCCTGTCGAATTAAAAAATAAACAGTTATTTTCTGATATATTCAAATATTATTATTTTTTCTATTTTATTACAATTACAAACAAATCACAATCGTAGAACCTAATTATTAACACAATTATTTGGAAGTTATTTTAGTTAAAATCTTATTGATATAATACATTCGTATAGTAGTAGTACATACATACATATTAACACTCTACAATTGTGTGAACTATATAAACTCAATACCTTCATATTTTAAATCCGTTTCTATATGTTGTTCGGCGTACAATGTCTTGCCGTGTATATCGAAAGCGGTTATAAATGTTGTAGTTTTGCCATTCAATTCCTCAGTTTTGAGAGCAACAATAATTCGATCATCTGTTCCCGGTATAAATTTGAAACTTGAAAATCCATGTGTCGGTTGATTATTTTTAGGATCCAGTACTACCGTTTCTATTTTGCTGAAATTTTCATTGGCCATAATAAGAAGATTACAGCCCATATATTCGTCACGGGTTTCGTTGTATCTAAAAACGTTAACAAGAATATAGAATATACATATATAACTAGATTCTCATTTTTAATAATAAAAAAAGATTAAAAGTCTAATAAAGAGTCAAAGATAACAAATTGATAAACGAAAGAGAGGAGGCCTACCCTGAAATGTCAGATAATATTAATAGGATAATAATCCTAGTATCCGGTACTTCGTATGCGGAAAGAGAATACAAAACAAATATTTTATATAAGACTCGTGAATACTGTATACTTTGCTATACTATAATTACGAATTCCACCTCTATTCCTATATCTGATATCATGTTTATTACCGTTTAGTACTCCTCATACACGTAAGAACTAATTTTCGAAATCTCTTTCTTATTTCCATTATACAGATTCGAAAGTGATCAGAATTCCGATTCCAAGTCTGGCATATTTAGTGCATTTAGTACTAATCGTACATCAATCCAAACTCCAACAGTAATTTTAATTTCAAAATTCAGGATTCTAGCTCTATCCGTTCATCCAAAGTCCAAATTGTATTGTATATATTTAGTACTTTTCGTATCCATAAGTATGAATTTCCTAAACTACCTCAATCCTACAGCCAATATAATTCCCAATTTCAAGACAACAGTTCTTTATGTTCACGAAAACGATTTTTTAAATCCTGTACTCCAATTATCTGCATAATAAACCGTATCTGTAAACTGTAAGTAATCTTAATTCCTATTTTCACGATTCCATCTCTATTTGCTCAACTAAATGCAAATAGTACCATTTAGTATTTTTTATACCCATAAGTACGAATTTCTAAAACCATTTCCATACATCAACACCACTTCCTAAACTGTATTCCATATAAAATTTCAATATTCTAGCTTTATATGTTATATATATATGGGCAATATTGCCAATTTTTTAATATTCCCTTTTTTTTAATTTTAGACAAAAAAATGTTGGGGTTATTCTGCTATCCCTATACCCGAATTTCGCCGAAAAATTGACATATATAATAATAATCACTTTTTGTGTATAAGTATACGCCTTGGGGATTATATCAAGACCCTTCCGATAAATCATGGGGTTTTATAAATAGGAATAAATCTTAAAATAAAATAATATTATGAAATATACACTTTGATCGCACAAAATTTTCACCATCGGATGAGTATTACTCTGAAGCTGTGCATACTACATACACAAAATACATATCAAATTACGCAGATACGCGACTACAATAATCTTATAATCGATTTTTAGAAATTCCTGTTTGCGTATTAAAGCTAGAAGTAAAATTAAAAAACATTCAAAATCGAGCTTCAAAATGTCAGTATCATTTAAAGGTAGATGCAGTAAAAATTTTGAAAAATGATACATAAGGGGCGTAGTCCCCCTTTTGTTGGCTTCTAGTTTTACTTTGACACGAAGACCGTGAAATTAGTGGCTTAATCACAAATCGATAGAGAACATAAAAACTGGTTTGCCTCACTTTTTCACATTAAAGTAGACACAGCTTCCACCAAAATAAAGTTTGGAAGTCAATATCATGAACAGTTTGCAACGACAGACCAATTAACCCAAAACTACTCACTTTTTTCATATACTTAAGTAATTCCCGAGTTATAAAGGGGTGAACCTCCGCTGCAGCTATGTTAAAAAATTGCCAATATTGCCCATAAATCTAGTAATGTTTAGTACTTTTAGTACACTTATAGGTTGAATTTTCAAAAAACCTTCTGTACATCTTTCTAACTTTCCATTAGTGACCCACATTTCAAATTTAAGAATAATAGCCCTTCCAGTTGGCTTTAATTAGTACATTTTAGTACTTTTCACACCCTTCTATTTCGAGAAACCCACAGTCACCTCAGCTCATTGTGTAAAACAGTGTTGGACAGAAATACATTGAGAGTAAAGCTACATTTACACGATTGAAGACATTTTGAAGTTTTATCAAAATTTTGAAAATGTATTTTGAAGTCCTATTTACATGTTTCAAAAATTTGATCAAAATATTCTTTCGATATATTTCAAAATATTTTGATCAAAATGTTTTGAAGCTAATTCACACTATTGGTAATTTTTTCTATTGCAACTATTGACTTTGAACAGCAGTTTTGATTATTTTGAGAAATAGGACATCAGCATTTTTTAATATTGGAGGAAGAAGTAGCTGATAACAATGAAAAAAGAAGAAAACAAAAGCAACATTGGGTTCGGCCTTTTCTTTTGGAAGGTGATGTTGTGGATGATTTTTTTAGGGAGCGATTAAAACGGAATGATCCCGACCTATACAAAAACTTTGCGCGAATGTCACCAGACGATTTTGATGTTTTGCTTGAACTAGTCACCCCATTAATAGAAAAGGCCAATACTAATATTAGGGAATCTATATGTCCCGGAGAACGCCTGACAATAACATTGAGATTTTTTAGCGACTGGGGACAGCTATGCAAGTCTGACGTTCTCTTACAATCTCATATTAATTTATTAATTATAATTTAATTGGCAAGTGATTTAATTCCATTGTCACTTGTCGCAACAAAAATGTGTAAATAAAAACATATGACATGTATTGATCAAAAGAATGAACATTCTATCAAAATATTTCTAGTCATCAATATTGCCAGATGCGATTTTGATGCCTATTTACACGTCATCAATAAAATCTTCAAATGTTTTCTTCAATAAATTTTGAAGAAATGTTGTTTACACGAGTTTGAAGCATTTTGAAGACAAATTTTGAAGAAACTCTCTAATCGTGTAAATGAGGATTAAGTGTGGGAGAGCGTAAGAGCGATACCGCTATCGTACTATTTTGTGCATTAGTGGTGTAAAAACAATAGGGCTGCTACAATAACAACCCACACTCAATATTTCAAGCTTTAACCGTTACGTCTGGGCGATGATCTGTCAGTCAGTCACTCACTTATCACTAAGCTCTTTCATATTTTCCACTAATACTGTAAATATATTCTTAGATCTGTGTTGTTTTGTTCGACCTTTTGATTCTTATATAATAAAACAATATATTTTTTCGAGCTTGAGGTCTTTTTTTATCGTCGGATGACGATAGTGAAGTCTATCATAGTTTTAAGTAAACTTGACACTAGTTTATTTATTATCCTGAAGATGCAATTTAAAACAATTGCGAAATATTGATCGTGAAAAATAAAAAAGACCTCAAGCTCGAAAAAATATATTGTTTTATTATATTCTTAGAAAATACAACAACACTTATGTGATAATACTTACTTTTCTTTTGAACATCTTCTAGGCAAAAAGAACCATTTCTTATGGTAAGCCGACCAAACACCACTCTCGTGTATCATATAGCCAGGCCATGTTATCTGCGCTGACTCTTCCCGCAGTCTTTTAAAATTATACGACCAGTCGAGAGATTTCACTGCTCCGTTTGTAGAGATAACTTTTACATACATAGGATTTTCGTTTTCAAAATCGCCCACACCATTGGTCCATTCTTTCCCCATAGAACCAACATATAGTAAACCATCTTTAACCGTTGCCCATTCCGATTTGAAGCCCTTGAGATTATTACCATTTCCATCAAGTAGAATTACCCATGGTATTGGCTTGTCGCTATTCGTAATGTCGTATATTAGGCCAGTTCGGTCATCGAAACTCAATATTTTTCCGTTAAATGTAACCAGCTCGGAAAGTTCCATACCACGTCCCTTAAGGGAAAAGCTTGATTCAAGCGTTGCAGGTTCGCCGCTATCCCATGCAATTGATATCTCATCTTTTGCAGCAATATACGTAAGGTGGCCCTTTTTCAAATAACTACGCCATACTGTTGCACCGTTTGTATCCACCTTTGAATTAGTATCTAAATCCGCAACTATTGCTATTCGGTAGGTTATCATTCCGGGCCTACCCACCATGGGAGGTGTCAAGGGATACGTACTGTTGTATGAGGAGGATATGGCATCTGCATCGAGATTTCTATTGCTAGTACCACCGATGATATTTGTGTTTCGGTGGCCACTTGTTGAACTGGCATAATTTTTCAGCCACGCTGCATCCGATGATGATGTACTACCTCGTACATAATAGAAAAGCACCACTAAAGCACATGCACCCACAATAACCATTGCGATGTGATAGTTAAACCGTACCGTTCTGTTGCCAATACGATACGTCGGTGGTGTTCGCAAAGCTGTTCGCCAGTCACGGTTATACATGACTGATCGTTGATGTGATGTTCTGGGTGTGCTGTTGTTTAGCTCTCTATAGGTATGGCCCGATGCAGAGGAGGCAAGTGATGGCGTGGCGTTATGTTTATTTGTGGTATATAAAAATTGTTGCTTCATTTATCTTTCGGTAAAACAGTCAGCAGAAATCGAGGTATGGTACATTTTTATCTTTTGTATCTTTTCAACAGTGGACGTCACTTCCTGTTTGATTCTAAATTACATTTTAAGTGAAAACATTCTGTTGATTTAATTTTATTTAAGATACGTTGGCGAAGCCTCTGCCTTTTAACTTGCAAAAAAAAATTATGACATAAAAACAGCTGTTTTAGAAAGGAGCTGTCAAACGCATATGCAGTGTACTGGACAAGGCAGATTTAATAAGGTAGCCGCATGAGCAATTTATTAGAACAAAAATGGTGTAGTGAAAAATAAAAAAAATAAAAAAATAATATTGTGAAATCAAACTAATTCATAAGATATTATTACACAAATTCATTCAGAAATGTGAATAAATGTCTTGTTGTTACTTTTCCTTATGTGGGTCAAAATTAGCACCATAGACAAGACTTTTAGTTTTTGCAAACAAATAAACCGTTTGTTATTTTGTCATAAATCAACAATTTTTTGTTAATATATAAACTTTTGCTTTGATTTTCAATTCAAATATTTTCTTCAATGATCTCTTATTAAGGTCATTCTGCATGCGAAAGTCAGTTGTTTTTTCTCAAGTCGAATGTTAAAAATTTGGAATTTGTTTACTTTTTCATAATAGAAGTATATGTACAATAATGGATTTTGACAGCAAACTTGAGAAGCAGCTGGTCTCCCTGGACGACCTTATTAACACTAGAAAGACTGCAATTTTGTTTATACTACCTATATTGCCTAAAATCGGTCAAAATGACCTCATTCTGAAAAATTTTTTATTGTATAAAGACATTTTTTAAACTTATTTCAAACTACTATGAATTTTAAACGTAATTCCAAGGTATATTTAATAAGGTAGCCGCATAGGCCCAACTGTTGGTGCAAATAAATGTCAAAAATGTTGTTGTAATGTTGAACCAAAAAATTAAAAAAACAAAATTATAAATGAAAAATCTCCGAATTTTGAAGAGCTTGTTTGGCAATACTTTTATTAACATTTTCTACAAGAATTTATGTAGAAAAATCTTGTCAATCTGTTTATTTTGGCAAAATATTTTTGACATATCAAAATACAACAAGCGATGTTTGTTGTAGAAATTCGCCGATGCGGCTACCTTGTATATCTACCTTGCGTAATTCTATGTGGTACAAAAAGTATTAGTAAATTCTATTTTGATTTTATATCCTTAAAAATTAAAATGGATATAGAAAACTCAAATACAATTTAAATTAAATGTTATAAATAACATATTTCCCTTGCTATTTTTTTTTTATTAACAATTACATATTTTATATTTGCTCCAAACTTCTTGTTACTGGAATAAGCTGCATCGAAACAACGATTTTAATGGATGTTGTCCGTTTACTTTTTACAATTTTCCTTTTTATTTTAAGTAAATTCTTACTAAGTATATGCCACTGGAATAGTAAACGAACGTACCCAAAGAGTTTCTTTCAAACAACCGATTTTCTTATTTTTCACATACGAAAATAAAGCGCCTCATATTCGGAAAAAATATATATGTTATGTAAAAAACAAATTGTGTAATAGCACCCTTTTAGAACCAATAGTTGTTCCACCTAGCTTATTAAATTTATCTTGCTGGTACCCACTAAATTTACATTTGACAGCTCAGAATATTTCGGTGTGTGTGTGCCATATGAAACTGTTTTATCGACATTGTTTTTAAACAGCTGTTCGAACATTAACACCCGCAGTTTACGACGGGCCGGTGGTACGTGTTTTAATGTTGAGTAGTTTGTGGCATCCGCAATGAGTTCCCATTTTGGAAACATTTTGAGACAGGCCCTCAAAACTTTCGATCGAAAAAATCAAAGTTCTCTCGTTAATAATTTAGCGACTTTGAAACAATTGACAGATCAACTTTCTAAACGCGACATTCTCATCAATGAGGAGGAACTACTTAAAGATAGTATCTATCAAATTCCTGGACGTGCTCCTTGTACTTATATGCACATATTCGAAGATGATACCGTGTCGATGAGTGTTTTCATAATGCGAGGTGGTTACACTATGCCATTACATGACCATCCCTGTATGCATGGCCTTTTGAAAGTCATTCACGGCAAACTTAGAATTCAAACTTATACTCAACAAAGTACGCCAAACAGTGATTCCATTAAGGTCAACAATACCAAATTCAAGGAAGTCGATGTTGTTAAGGAAGAACCAGTAGTTGTAACATCAGATATGGGTTGCTCACTATTGACACCAACTGAGAGAAATTATCACGAAATTACAGCCGTGGGAGGGGTTGCAGCATTCTTTGATATTTTAGCTCCACCCTATGATGCAGATGTTCCCGGGATTGGTCCCAGATCATGTACATTTTATGAGGCAATTGAATCGTCTTCAGTGGACCCATCAGCAAATAGTAAAACAACCGATGATAATGTTAGTATTTGTGGAAGAGAATCCAAACCAAAATTGAAATTAAAACGTATACCTGCACCTGTATCATATTACTGCGATACCACAGATCCACATGAGACTTTAATACGAACGGTATTTATGTATATTAAAGAAGCTTATAGTCCTACATAAATAACAAGGGGAATGTTTGAATTTTAATATGCTAATAGTTTTAATCGCCTGGAAGCCAAAAATGCCTATAAGCTCCCTATTTATTTTATACAGTTACTATAGAGTTCATACTAAGAAATGAGTGAAATGAGGCAAAGTGTAATTAAGCCCAATCCAATTATGTGGATTCTTATAATATCACTATATTACATAAAAACTAATACACCTTTATAACATCACATTGTTCGAATACAGTTAGTGTACTAAATTTATAACGTTTGTGTACTAAGTGAACAAGGCTCACAAATAAGAAAATAAATTAAGTAGTCCAACATAAAAATGTATTGTTTTTTTATTTCCATGTAGGTATGGTACACTATACAGTGTACCATATTTTTTTTGAATTTATTGTCATATATTTTGTATTTAAATTATCAAGTTCAAAGTCAAGACGGCGTGCCATCACTACACCTTTCCTTAAAACACTAGACAAAGGCATTTAATACGGCATTTGTACATTTTGAGATGAATATCATACCTAGCAAAATAAATAATCCAAATAAAGTTCGACGTATCTGTAGTCTATCATTATCAAATATGTTCTGTTTTTATTTACACGAAATTATTAAAAACACAAGTATATTATGATTCCTCGTCGTCGTTCTTATCCACATAAATGTCCTGATTACGTCTTTTGAATTTTTTAATCGGAGGTTTTGCTGAAATAGATTGTGTTTCACTAGCGGTCGTTTCATTGACTGAACCCATATCAGTATGCTGATCAACAACACCCTCACATTCGATATTTTCATCCATTGTAGTACCCTCTTTTTCGGTTTCGTCATCTATGTTCAATTCTTCTTTATTTTCAAGAGAATCGTTGCCTGTCATTTTTGGCTTAGGTAGCGACAATCCACTATTGCTTTTACGTTTAAACGGACTTCTTGCTGATGACATGCCCAATGAGTTGGACGACGTATTAAGACTAGAATTAAGTTCATCAGGAATGGATTCATTTAGGGCCGAATCCTCGGTATTATCCAGTGTACTCGAATGACTTAACTCATGACCACCAATCAGCATAGCTAAGCTAAGAGGATCATCAATTCCTAATGTATCACAAAATTGTTGTGACTGAGGGTTTATTTGCGACTTCGGCTGTTTATAATGATGCCCTTTGGTTAAATGGAAGCTTGGATCAAATGCTTCTACAGTACGACAGAAATTTTCTGGAATTTTCAAGTCATTTTCGAAGCGTTGTCTAATGAAGTTCATTTCATCAATAGAAGGCGTAAATTGATATCGTTCGCCATTTGAACTTTTCTCGTTGGGCAGATAATAATAATTTTCCTTAACATTTACTAAATGATTTGTTAGGTGCAATATTGTTAACCACTCCAGATCGTATTCTAAACGCAAATGGCCTTCATCGTCGGTGTGGTTTTCCGAATCGATGTCGAGAATTTGTAAAAACCTGCGCTTCGGTAGGCACTTATCTAGCGCCAGAAATTTTGTTATTTTAGATTTTTGACGATCGTTTTGTGGATATGATAAATGTTGTTCTGTTTGTTCTTTTTCGGCTGGTTCGTGGTGCTGCACTAAAGCGGCGAATTTACAATGCAAATGTGCCGAAAACCAATATGAAGGTCTGAGTAGATTTAACAAGTCCTGGCACGGTCTACTACCTAATTGATCCCTATCCATCTCCTCCCGCAGGAAAGGTTTAAATCGGGCCAGTTGTTCCTTATTGCCATAATTGTATATACCTTTAGGCCAATCATGCGACATGAAAATATCTATTTTTCCCGACAGTTGTTTCAGACGGTACACTTCTAACTGTCTCACATGATAGACACTTCGTTTTGTGTTGTCTGTGTAGGGAGAAAATTCAAAGCGTCCCCGCAGGAAATCGTTGCCCTTATATATACCAGATAAACCACCAATACGTATGCCATTTACACGTACCACCCCAGCATATCCCAAATAGTATATATTAGGAGCCACCCAACCTCCATATGGTAATTCTTGTAAATAATTTGAGGCCTCGTGATTTCCCCCAATGAAAATGGTTAGCATTGGCGCGCGTAATTCCCCACTGTAGTATCTGCAAAGAGAAATGGATTGTTAGAATTACCGCGATTCTAAGATCGGAAGGATATGCTTATTTCTTACTTGTAAAATGTGGACATATGCTGAAATTTAGGTGGTACAGCCATCGTTTGCAGGTCTTCCATATTACGGGTAGCTTGGAAATCGCCACAACATAGTAGCAAATCTATTTTTATACCATCTCTTTTTTCAATTTCAGCGATTGTTTCGTATATTTTTTCCAGCTCGCCATGAGCACAGCCTTCTACCGCGATTTTCATTGTTAGCACCAATAAACAAATACAATAAATACAAATTCAACGTGCCGCACAAGCAAATAGGATATTTGTTTGGGGAGAAGACAAAATGGCCGATAAAGAAGAACTCAAAGTAGGTTAACGAAATATTTACGAATGAGGTGGGATAGAAATTACATGAGAACCGCTTTGTTGACACACAATGCTAAGTGATGTATTTCATCGGCGTCAGTGATTAATCGGCGTTGTATGAGCTGTATTAAAAAGGTGGCAGCACCGTATTTCGTATCGTAAATTATTGTTGTGGATTTACATGGAAGATGTCAAGGTAGATTTAAACATTACAACTCTAGGTGCATTCTGTTATATGGAAATGTTATTTTTAAATGACAAAGGATGTGACTGGATGTGACTAGAAATAGAAGTTACATTCAACTTTATTTTAACACTAGAAAGACGGGAATTTTGTATATACCTATATTGCCTAAAATCGGTCAAAATGACCTCATTCTGAAAGAATTTTTATTGTGTAAAGAAAAATTTTTTAACTTATTTTTTAATACTTTTTACATTATTTACAATCATACAAAACGTTGTTATTATTTGTTTTCGGTGGTAGGGCTCTCGAGTTTCCCCTTTTGAGCCATAGCCACTTATATGTGTAACACATATGAAAATGCTGGGAATTGCGAGTTATTCCATGAAGAAAGATTTGCTTGCTCAAACTTTCCCAGCAGGCAGATTGAGTAAATTGAATACCGGAGCATATTTAAAAAAGAACAATTTCAAATTGTATGCTTTCCCAATTTTCCTCTTGGGTGTTTTTTAAAAACATAATTTGTCAAATTCATATTCACACTAGTATTACGTTGGAATCGAATCAGCTGGGATTTGCTGTTACCTTTTATAATTGTACCATGTCTTTACTCTAAGAGTGAAATCGACTGGAAATCATGGTATAATAATAGAAGGTAACAGCAAGTGTTGTTGTACAAAAAACGATACAACAACCACATGGAAATTTGTTGTTGTAAGTTCTACTAGTGTCAACTCATTTGACAGAAAAATGTAAACAAACAAACAAATTATCATCAAATTATTTTTATTTTGAAAATGAAATATTTTCGAATCCTCAAAATAAAAATTGAAAAACATGAATGAAAATCTATCAAATTTATATTTCTATCGCTTCCACATCTTTCCTATAATTGAACCATTGATATATATATGTGTAACACATATGAAAATGCTGGGAATAACGAGTTATTCCTTGAAGAAAGATTTGCTTCTTCAAACTTTCCCAGCAGGCAGATTGAGTAAATAGAATACGGGAGCACATTAATAAAGAAAAATTTCAAATTGTATGCGTTCTCAATTTTCCTGTTGGGTTATTTTTAAAAACATAATTTGTCAAATTCATATTGACGCTAGTATTACGTTGGAATCAAATCAGCTGGGATTTGCTGTTACCTTTTATAATTGTACCATGACTGGAAATATAAAATTTATTTTTCCTGATTTGTGTGTTCGTTTGTGTTTCTAGAGTAGCAAACGGGTTTCGATGTTTTTGTACCGATCTGGTCATATATGAAATTTACTTTATACAATAATAAAAGCAGTTTGATTATTTAATATTTCAAAAAGGTCAAAATGACCGCAATATAGGTATAGCACATGTGAATACGGGGAATGAAAGAGGGGAGGAAGCAGCTACTATGATCAATAAACGTAGTTCTATGTGGTACAAAAAGTCACCAAATATTAAAAAGCTGGGTCATAATATACACAATTGTTTTTGTACTTGAAATTGAAAAACGGTCAAAATGACTGCCTTCGGCAATCTAGTGTTATGGATAAATAATCAATACTTCATGAGATATGCAGCCTTATTCTGGATATTTGCTAGGGAGATATCTCGCATGTAAAAAAAATTCGCTTTCACATTCTCGCCTTATTCTGAATGAATAGGGAGATGCAAAAAATGCGAGATGCGGATTCGAGTTTTCGAAAATGGTGGTTGAAAAAAAGATTCGTGTTGCCATATCGTAAATTAAGTTGCAATGTGTGTGGCCATATTGTAATTTAAGTTGCATTGTGTGTTGCCCCATTGTAATTTAATTGTGTAACATTTTTCAATATATTATTTATTGATTTTTGTTATTAAAAATTGTTAATTTTTATTGTTATTTAAACTATATAGCAATACAAATGTGAAATATCAAGAATCCGCTGTATAAACGCCTTGTAATTAAAAGAAAATAAATTAAAGTTTGAAAATATGGCAACCTACAATATGGCATGTGAAACAGCTGTTCATTGTTTTGATGCAATTTGTTGCAACTACTACAATAGATTACAAATAAAAGAACATTTTTTATGATGGCAAAAACACAACGAATAATAGGAAGGAATCTGCGATTTAATTAATTAATACACAGTTTATTATTTCACTACATAATTGTGTGCCTTTTTATTTAATTCCGATATTTTATCTCCCCAAATTCTTAAAATCATAACATAGATTTTCTTTAAAAAAAAAAAATTTTTGTTCTTTCATAATTATTATTTAAATTTTTCACTGTTAAGAGGCTCATCAGGCAAATTTGGGCTTTTAAAATTTTTTCTTGAGAGACAGATCCTCACCCAAAATATCTGTATTTCGTCTCCAAAAATCAAACTCGACTTAAATATGCCTTATTACCTTCATACATTTCTTGGCAATACTTGGTTCAGCATGCATCGTTATCAATGGGATTTCCAATGGCATTTTATTGGTTGTTTTCTAGTTAAAAATTTGCTTACTATCATTTATAATATTCTAAATCGTCATAGAATAAGTATTGTCTAAATATTTTTCATAAAAATAGTTATTACTTATGTTTTTGTAGTCAACTCACTTTAAATTTATTAGCGAAAAATTTCGCACAAAATTTCATCTCCAGCCTTATTCTGGATATTCGCTGGGAGATATCTCGCACATACAAAAATTTTCGCTTTTACATTCTCGCCTTATTCTGAATGAATAGGGAGACGCAAAAAATGCGAGATTATAGAGAGATTATAATGGGAAAAACACAAGCACATAATTCTGTGCCTTTTTATTTAATTTCGATATTTTATCTCTCCAAATTCTTAAAGTGGCCTGTTATGCTCCTACTCCTTTATTTCTCCCTTCAAATAATGCAAACGATAATTTTGAAAAAAAATATTTTTTTTTCATAATTTTTATTTAAGTTTTTCACTGTTAAGCGGCTCATTAGGCAAATTTTGTTTTTCTATAATTTTTTTCTTGAGATACAGATCCTCACCCAAAATGTCTGTTTTTCGCCTCCAAAATACATCAAACTCGACTTAAATATTCATTATTACCTTTATACATTCCTTGGCAATATTTGGTTCAGCATGAATCATTATCAATAGGATTTCCAAAGGCATTTTATTTGCTGTTTTCCAGATAAATATTTGCTTACTATCATTTATAATATTCTAAATCGTCATAGAATAAGTATTGTGTTAATATTTTTCATAAAAATATTTATTACTTATGTTTTTGTAGTCAACTCACTTTGAATTTATTAGCGAAAAAATTCGCACAAAATTTCATCTCATTCTCCTACTCCCTGTAATCCAGAATACATAATTTTTCCCCAAAGCGGATTTTTTCACTTTCGAACTTCATTCAGAATAAGGCGAAAGCGAGAATGCGAAAAAATTCACACAAAAATGTTGTTCAGAATAAGACGAAGGGGAAGAGCGAGTAAATTCACGTGGAATTGACATCCAGAATAAGGCTGCTAATTTTTCCCCAAAGCGGATTTTTTCGCTTTCGAACTTCATTCAGAATAAGGCGAAAGCGAGAATGCGAAAAAATTCACAGGAAAATGTTGTTCAGAATAAGGCGAACGGAAAGAGCGAGTAAATTCTCATGGAATTGACATTTTTCCATTTGATACTGGTAACATCCTCTTTAATTTGTTTGGGGAGAACCTCGTGCTTCCGGAAATATGGGGTTCCAAAATTTTAAAAATAAGGATCAGCTTGGATTATTCTGGTTCAGCAGAGGTATGTATACTGTACCCGATAACATAATGATTTTACTCTTATGAGAGGATGTATATATCTCTTGAGAAGTGGGGTTTGGAAAAAATCGGCTGGGGCAGGGGATTTAGTCATAAAGATTATTAAATTTGCCTTTAATTTAATCATGAATAAATCCCGGAAAAAACTCGCGACTCTTAACGAATTACGTTTAATACAAATAGGTCCTGGAATAGAACTAATGTCGTTAACTTACCAATAGATTCAAACAAAAAGAAGGAACTCCTTTTTAACCATCTGCACAATGTACAAATAGCATTTTTATGAATTACAAATTTATTCAATGTACAACAAGTGAATCAACTTTTAATATGGCCTAACTTTTGATTGTGTGGCATGTGTAAGAATCCATGATTTATAATCACGTTTCTTCATGGACATTTGCTTGTGCCTGGGATGGGTTGGACAAATGACATAATGACGCTGCTGGCGGATAACAAAGTAGCAATCCTTGCAACGTCTCTTTAGACGTCCTTTAACCTTGAAACCGGCAACTTGATTTAAAACTGTTGTAACAGGATTCAATAAACGTTGGATGCCAGCAATCAAAGATGTTGGTGATGCTGCATCCTGAGCAGTAGGCGTCTTCGAAATATTGGCCGGTGTTACGGGTAAAGGTTTCAACATCATGTGGAAACTGCGGGTATACTGCGGACAGTTAGCAGTATTTGCCAAAACCCTAGTCAAGCCTTGAGGTGCAAAACTCGAGAAGATTTTTGTGACAAAAGACATCTAGATGATTAATAAATAAGTATAACGATTATTAATTTTTGATTTTATTCATTATTTCACATGCAAAGAAAAATATTACCTCTTCCTGTTACAAAATTAATTTCACAGCAAACCACAACAGCACTATAACCCAAAACAGCTGTTTTTTATATTTGAAGAGACCAGAGTACGACTAACAAAATAATGGCGTCAATTGTCGTTGTAGTGGAATTTGTCGGCGTCAAGAACGATAGAAATGAAATTGCTATGTTCCCGTATTTTTAATACTTATTGAACAACACGAGATATATTTCATAATCGCCTTCAGAATACAAATTAGAATAGTGTCCGGATATAGTCAACTCATTTTAGCAAAGTCTGTTCGTAGTATTTACATTGTAATAAAGTTAATTTATATAATTCGTGAATAGATATTTCCTTCTTACGAAATTGAATTTAGAACCGATTTTTTGCAATTTTCACTATTTCGTACTGCGGTATGAATGTTTCAATTTTGCATATTTGAAAACGAGAGAATATTTACTCCCTAAAAGGAAACTACCATGTTATTTTTTCTTGAAAATGTTACCGAACATACCTCTTGTATGCAATGCTAATTGGACTTATTTCGTTTAATTATACAATGTGCAATACCATACCATTTTAAATTTAATATTTTATACAAAGAAAAGAAAATATACATTTGTCCTTCAACAAATATGTTGGGGTATTTTATTCATTATTAATTTTTAAAGGAATTATCAAAGTTATTATATTCTTAACTTTGTTTATTCATATAAATCTATTGAATGACTGAGTCTTGTTTTCCATAAAATAAAAATTAATCAATATTAATTACTCCTTTCTCATCAGGCTCAGATCTTTTAGTGCGCTTCGATTGAGTTGGTCCGTCTTCTTCATCCGAATCTAAAATCTCGGTTATATCACCATCAACAACTGATGTCTTACGCTTGGTGGCAATAGGTTTCTCCGGACTTTTGACTTGCAGTTTATCTGTAGCTTCTGTCACCTCCTCTGTTGCCGACTTATCGGTGGGTTTTGAAACATTATGATCATCGTCGTCTTCAATTAAGCATAAATCGTCGTCATCGTCGTCAACGATTTCGTTGACTTTGCTTCTCTTCGACGTAGATGGTCCATCAGACACATCGTCCTTTTTGCCGTTTTCATTTTCGGGTGTTTTAACCTCTTCCTTGGGCTTAAGTTGATTGGGATCGGCAATAACTTCAAAAAGCGGCTCATCTCGTTCAGCATCTATATGTACGATTATAATGCTTAGCTCGTAATTTTGGAAGAAATCGTCACATTTCAGTAGAACACCATCGACAATGTCCATTTCAGACATCAGCTTGTTTTCATTGCATTCAGTCTCTCCTTCTTCCGAGGAAATGACAACAACACCCTTGGCATCTACAATAACATCAGGGTTGACCATATTCAAAGTTTTAATAAGAACCTCATCGCGAAATTCTTTGATGTGTACACGCTTGGTATCAATGCGCAAATGTATTGCCGGCTCAGCAGCACAGACGTAACAGTTTGGATTTGGAGCTGTTAAAACTTTTTCGGGCACCAGCAATTGCTGCCTTGGGTTTGGTCTAAGGCGCATATAGACAGATTTGCACTTGTCCAATTGATTTTGTAGAACTTTGAAGGTGTGCAATACGACGACACCGGCAGTAATAGCATTAGTCGTTGCTATGGCTGGTATAATATTGCCAGCCATGGACTTGATTTCAAATCGTGATTTACGTGCAATCTCGAAGATATAACCACGTATGTTGGCACAAGCTGCAACGAAATCCATTGCGGGTTGATCATCCTTGTCCCAAACTAATGAATCGCCCTGCTCAATATTTTCCAAGTTCAATTTAAGTTTTTTCAAACAGTCGGCAAAAACTGCAGCACATTCGGCGAGGGACCAAATTTTATGATACTGGCGAGCAAAGCTTGTGTCGGCTTCATCCTGTTTCAAAATGACACTATCCCATTTTATGGGCGTCGGAGGCTTACGTGATTTCCATAAATTGGACATCGATAGAAGGTATTTGATGTCATCATAGAAGAATTTATTAAATAAAGTTTCGGCATCATAATTACTGTCCTTGGCCCACTGACGTGTATTAACACGTACTACATTACCATCATCTGGCACTTTTTCATCTGATAGCTTCTCTGTATCATTTGCAGTATTTTCAGCATCAGCTTCGCCCTTGGCTTCAGGATCAGCAACATCTGGTGAAATGTCTTCATCATCGACAGTCTCTCCGAATAATTGACTGCAAGTAAATTATGAAAACATTTTAAATTCTCGTAATATGTAGGGCTCAAAGCGGCATTCACATTTTATGCAAACGTAATCTGGAAAGTCATATGAAAAAATCCTCATACTCACTTGAACAGATGTTTGGCCCATACAATGCAATGAATGGGTTCCGATGGTGTATTACGAATGGTACAGCCAGGGAAACTTTTCTGTGTGGCTTTTGGTGTACATTCGTAACATTGTGTCAAACCCTTTTTGATTAACTCAACCTGACCATTGTATCCAGCAGTTCCACTTTCGATCAACGGCACTTCTGCATTCAAACACATTCGATTGACATGATTACGAGCAGCTCGGTTATCCAGGGCGTTTAAAACGACATCAAATTTCTTAAAGAAATTCACTCCATAATCGGTTCTAAAACAAATTATCGATATTATCCATGTCATGAATTCATGCTTTATTATAATACGTACGCCATAATACTGTCGTGATAGGCTTTAATTTTGACATCGGGATTAAATTGTAAGGCGCTTTCTCTAGCCACCTGTGACTTCGATTTTCCCACATGTTCACGATGGAACAAGAATTGCCGATTTAGATTACTCAAATCGATGGTATCCAAATCAATCTGCAAAATATATGTATATATGTCCAGTTATACATGAACGTAAGTGGTTGCGATTAATTGAACTTACAATTTCGATTTCGGGAAATCCAGACAACACCAAATTTTTCAGAATTTCACAACCAATACCACCAGCTCCAACTACCAGAAGTTTTGAATTTTTAACTTTTTCTTGTAAAGTTGCTGGAAATACTCCGTCCAAAGAAGCCGCCATTGCCAATTCTTATAAAGTTTTTTACCAACAAGTATATTTTTTGCAAACGAGACGCTGTGCCGGTATAAATCACAGTACCAAGCCTGTAATTGTGGGAATGTAGCGGCGTTATATTTCTAACATAAAATGACGCTGCCACATTTGAGGAACTTTGATGACACATTCAAATGGTATGCGTTTTATGTGAAGTACACACTTATATAATCATGCCAAAAAGGTGTATTTCATGGCACAATTAATAGCCGCTGACTGTCAAAGTGCAAGTGCATGAAGGCTATTGATTAGTCTGCTTTTCCACAGGCAGATTTTTATTTGGCAAATTTTTTGTTTTCTCTTTTGAAATTTTCGCTTGCTTTTCCATTAGCAATTTTTTTGCCAAATTTGCGAATCAAAATACAAAAGAAAGAAAATAAAAGTCAAAGTGTTTGCATTTTAAAGATTTTTTTAAATATTTTATTTATTTTTTTATATATTTTATTATATATTTTATTATATAAATTGCAAAAATTAAAAATTAAATTTCACTTGCACAAATTAAAGCAACAGGTTTGTAAACAAAAGCCGGCTGTGTGTCAGTAAAGCGAATAGGTTCAAAAGGAAATGTCAACAAAATTGTTTTCAACGAACAGAGCAAAGCAGAATTTGCGTGTACGGCAAATTCTGAACAGGCAATTTTTTGTTTTTCTTCCTCGCACCCCTCTCGCCTACAAACTCAGTATTTGCCAGATAAAAATTTGTCTGTGGAAAAGCAGACTTACAGATTATAGAAATTGTAACAACCGTGTTCAAGAAAAACGAAATGAAATCGCTGTGTTGACCATTAAGTGGCGTTGCCGGTATGCTGTCGTTTAGCGCGGCTATGGCTCGTCGGATTGGGGGTTGGTTCTTGCCACTTGCAGATCTTTTCGGTTGAACAAACAAAAAAAATCATACCGGACTTCAAACTAAATCAAAAAGGGGGTAAAAAGAAGCCTGAAACATGTCAACAAAAAAATTTAAATAGAAGAAAACGTTCACCTAACTGCAACCAAATCCCAAAATAACATTAGTTTTCTTCACAGAAACAGTGCTCCTGGCGGCTGACCAGCCAGGAGATAGCCCTCCCTCCGAGAACACCTCTCGCCATGACGTCTACTCATACTGGACGTCCCAGATCTGACCCTTGACTTACCATATTTTATCCCATCCCCACCATCTTTTTAATAGGGCTTTAAGCCGAAGACATTTTTATCTTTTCAGGTTTAATCCAGTACATATTTATTACAACTATATTACATATTTGGCAAAAAAAACAATTCATTCCATCGTAATTTGAATCAAAATCTAACAATTTACAGCGAATTATAATATAAAAATTTCAGAAAAAAACAAAGAATTGCCAATAAAAATCAATTTTCGAAAGTATTCTTTTCTTTTTGTACTTTTAGGGCTTAACGGCGAGCACCCAGAGTGTAGAACCTTGACGGCAGCTTGTGACTAAGGCTTTTTCCCAAAACGTAAGTATGTACGAATTAGTTCGTGTTTCAGCTTTTTAATTATATTCCTCGGTCAGAATGTAAATAATAATTTTCTTGCTTTCAATTTCCAGATGAGGACGAACAAAGGAATGTAGGTCGATACCACATTAAATCGACGATCTACACAATGCCTGGTAACCTAACCTTGAATTGAGCTCAGTTCAATGTCGCGTACCTGCATACCAACACAAAGTAAGTAAAAAAATTTAATATTAACTCGTTTGTTCACCCTTTTAATTTATTTATTCTTTTCAGGAAAAACCGCGGAATTTAATTATGTAGCTTAGTCGTCCGTCTGTCTGTCCGGAGTTAAATAAGTTTCAGTGTCAATTGGGAATGATACCAAGCCACGCTGGAGCAGCAATGGCGTAAACTCTGCGCCTCCCTCGATGGATTGGATGGGCGATGGTGTGGCTTGTAGGCTCCAATTCTTCATGAATTTTTAGGTTTAAGATTTATATTCATTGCTTTAGAATTTTAGTCAATTGTTTGGGTTTTTTTTTTATATTGTTAAATTGTTTTCAAACTTTGTTTAATTTTAAAAAAAGGTTCAATTTTCTTTTAATTTTCAATTTTTTGAAAACTATTTGTTTTGTTATAAATTTCCTTTCAATTTTTAGCCTTTTTTTCGTTTAATGTTGCTTAATTATTTAAAGGCTTCAGATTTTCTTTAAAATAGTTTGTATTTTGTGTTGTTTGTGTATGTGTTTCAACAAATAAACCAGATGAATTCACTTCTCAAAAACTTTGGTTGTTTTTTTTTCTTCGACGGTTACAGGGAGCCACGCATCCAATCTTCTTCGCAGGCAAAATCAAAAAAGGCAGATTTTTCTTACAATTTTTGCCAGGAAATTCTGGCTGCCATTTTCCTCGTTTAATTTTTCTATTTTCTCCTTATATTATTCCCTAATATTGACATTTAAGTAATTGGAATAATCAGCTGTTTCCTAGTAATTGTTCTTCTTCTTCTTCGAGCTATCAATTATTTTCAGGGTTACCCCTTTTAAAGGCGCACACCACAAAGCCAACTATCCTGCTGATATCCTTATCGAAGGATAGGGGGAAAAAAAGTGCGACAAAAATAAAAAAAAAAAAATAATTCAAAAATTTAATCTTGGGTGTTTTTTAAAAGTATCGGTATTCGAAATCCCTACTTTTGTTGTGATCTGGCAACTCTAAATATTAATTCTGAGCAAAAATTAATTATTTAAAACATCATGTTTTATTTGCCACATGTAAACGGTTAACCTCATATATAGTTTTACCATGTGTAAACCGAGTGTAAGAATGACGTCATACGCCAAGCGTTACGGTTTAGTGTGGCGCACTATAACATATGGGCAACTGACGTTTATGAATGATAGCGTTGGGGACGCTTAAATGGCAATATTATTTGGCGGCTTGGATCACGGACGGACGGAAAATGGAGTATGCAGAAATTATTAAATAAAATGGTAAGTAGAGTGTAAAAGAATTAAAGTGAATATTAAAATAATTAAATAAAAATACGTGAAAGTGTCGGGTTATTGTAATAAGTGAGTGTAGTGATTGTGAAAAGTGCTTAAAGTGTAGAAAATTAATGAATGAAAAATCCTATTGTAAACATACAGTGCGGTTGTATGTGAAAATACTACAAGTGCAAATAATGAATGAAATACAAAATAAGAAATAATTCTAAGAAAAATTATGATAAAATTGTAAAGAACAATGAATAATTGAATAATAAAAATTATAAACTCAAAAATAAAATGAAATTAAACAATCCAGTGTGTGTGAGTGTATGGGTGCATATAGTGTAAAAGTAAAATGAAACCGAGCTTGGCGGAAACCTAGTGTTCGAAAACTTAGAATGTTTTCGAAAAATATGAGTGATAATAAAGTACTAAACTTTGAGTGATAATTATGAAAGAGAATGATAATGAGCAAAAAGAATCAAAATGAAATTGGAAACTGTGGAATCAAAACAAAAAGTGAAAATAAATGAATGGAAATGAATGAGAAAAAACTAAGCAAAACAAAAAAGAGAAATAAAAAATTAATAAAAATTAATTTAAAATGAACCAAGGCAAAATAAAGAGGAAAACAATAAAAATAAATATTTTGTGTTAAAGGTGATCGGACGGACGTAAATTATTTGTGAAAATATTGTGTTTATTTTTCTTTTAATGACGAAAAGTGCAAAGAATTTAATTGAACTAAACCATGAAAAAGTTGCATGATTAAAAAAAACAATTAAAGCATAAAAAGTGATTTTACTAGTTAAAAACTGTGCAAATCTGTATCTAACAAAAATTTATAAAAAAAATTAAAGTGAATGAAATTGAAATGCTATTGTGAATTAATTGAAAATAAAATATTCAAGAATTGGGCTTCAGTAAATTTAATATGACAAATTATGTGAAATGTTTTGAATTTTGATGAAAGTATTAAACTGAATGAAAAATTAATAATGATAAACTGAGAAAGTTATCCAAATCGGACGGACATATTCGGTGTGATTGCCTAAAAATTAAATTTTTTTTTTTTCATTTTTCTTTTTCTAAATTATATTTTGATTTTAACTTAAAGTTTCCTCTTTTTCACAGATAACTAATACTTTCTCTTTCTGTTCTTATCTTTTCAGATTGGTGACTGCCTACGTTTGGATTGAACGAAAGGTAAGATTGAGACCTGATATTTTCTTTTTCTGTAGGGGTACCCTCAACTAGGTCCACACTTTGGTCAGATTGTTGGATACGATATTATTTCAAATGCATTTAGATGTGTTTGATCGTGTCTCCCCGCTTCCAGACTCTAACGTCGTAAATCGATGACTGACAGCTCTGCGACCTTGTGTACAACACTCTTCTGCCTTGTGCCATAGTTGCGTATGGGAATATAAAGGAAGAGTGCACAAATGGTCAAGGACAGTCACAACGTGACTGCTCAGGAATCGTAGACATATTGTTAGAGTCGGTAAATCTGGGATGCTTCCGTTCGTAATCCAACGAATTCTTTCTGACCGCTGTTGGTGTCTAGGCGAGTGGCCTCCTATGGTTGCAAGAAAAAATTTTCCATGGTCTCAATAATCAAAAGACATCTAGAGAAGTTACTCAAATTGGATATTGCATTCACAAAAAGGTAAGTAAAAATAGAAATGCTAATAATTTAATAAGAAAAATAGTAATAACTTCCTTTTTTATCTTTCCAGACATTTATTACCTACATGCGACTTAATTTGCCTCTCCTGTGAAACCAGGAAATTATATTTGATGGTAAGTTCGATTAATCCTGTTCTCCTTTTTCTTTCTCCAGCAGTTGTACCATCGACTAGACCTTCAGCTTTTGTCAGAATGTCGGATACGATGTTGTGCAAATGCACTGACGTGTATTTGTTCTTTTTGTCTTTTGGCTTCCAGACTCTAGTGTCGTAAGTCGGGTGAAGGACGGATCTGCGACCTCGTGTACAACAGTTCCCTGGCCCGTGCCAAAGAGCGAACGGCTACTGCTTCACCGCGAAAGGGGAATTGCACTAATGGTCAAAGACAGTCACCAGTTGACTGCTCCGGATGCGCAGACATCAACTAGAGTCGGTAAACCCAGAGTGCTTTAATTCGTACTCTGACTTCACAATTCTGACATCTGCTGTTAGAGCCTAGAAGATTGGACTCCTGTTCGGATGGAAAAAAAAACAGGGTTCCGAACTTCATCAAATGTTCTAGCCGATACTTGTGGTGGGACTACGGTCGGCGCTTTAGAAATGAACGTAAGTTGTAGTTTTAATTCTATTTCGTAGTTTTCGTAATTTTGCTCTGGAAAATGAGAAAAATTATGAGAACCCTATTTATTTATAAACTTAAATTTCATAATTTATAACCAAAATTTAGCTAAAAAAAACTTTGTAAGTATGGCTTGGGATGGACATTTCAAATTTAATTTTATTTTTAAGTTGTTCATTTTTATTCGTATTTTTCTATTTCGCCAATAATCCTACATAATGATATTTCACTAATTCATATATTTTTTCTTATTTTAAAACTGAATTTAGATTAGCTAAATCAAGAAAAAAACAAATGCTATTCTCATATATATATATGTGTTAGACTTCGGTCGCTATATATATGTAAAAAGAAAAAAAAAATAATTAGAAGAAAAATTAATTTCTTCAATTCGTAAGCATTTATTGCTTCAAATCCTTAGCGTGAAAAATGCCAATGGGATGTCCTTTAAGATCTTCTACTTCGTAAAGGCATTTCCCAACTGGCTTAACAATGCGACACTTGAAAAATTTTTTATCAAGTTTAGCATTATAATTATTTTTAAAATCACTTTGCCTGAAACTTCTTCGGAAAACTTCTTGCCCTGGAATGAACTTGACCTGACGACTTCTAAGATTATAAGATTTTTCATTTCTCAAGTATGCCTGGTGCAGACTATTTCTTATCTTTTCTCGAATAAGATTCTGTTTTACCGAGTTTGGAATGAGTGTCGTCTCGGGGTCATTAAGAAGTTCAAGTTTCCTGGCTAATTTATAAAGACTGGCATGATTTATCATATTGACTCCAAAGAGCGCAAAATAAGGGGTAGTTCCGATGGAACTATGTACAGAAGATCGCAGAGAACATTCTATCTCTGATAAATTTTGATCCCATTCTCGGTGATCTTCTCCCAGATATGCTCGAATTGCTGATAAAATAGATTGATTTACCCGCTCCGAGGCATTTGCTTGCGGAGAGTGAAACGCAGTTTTGGTGTGGTTTATACCAAAAAGCTTAATCATATCTGAAAATTCTTTGCTAATAAATTGTTTCCCATTATCTGACACAATAACTTCTGGGGTTCCAAATTTATGAAATACTTCACTAATTAAAAACTTAACTACATTTCTTGAATTTGCTTTGGCCATGGCTTTTAGCAAAACGTATTTTGAAAGGTGGTCTACCACAATGAAAATAAAACTGTTTCCCGTTTTGGTTCTGGGATAAGGACCTAAGAAGTCTACATAAATTCGTTGAAAAGGTCTTTCTGTAATAGTCTCGGCTCCCATAGATGGACGAAGAGTCGAATTGGCTGGTTTTGTCTCTTTACAAATATCACAATTTTGTACAAAATTTCTAACTTGAGTGTTCATATTTGGCCAGAAAAAGTACTCTTTTACCCTACGAAGAGTTTTGTGGAAACCTCCATGAGAAACTTGTGGTGGACAGTGTGCTTTTTCAATGATTTGCTGGGTCAATTCGCTGGGTACCCATAACTTCCAAGCGAAATCTTCATTAAGGGGTATTCCGTCGTAGAATTGAGTTCGTTTATATACCAAACCATCAACCACTTTTAGATCGGGAAGTTGTGAAGAATTGTTTTTGATGGTTTCTATTAAGGCTAAATAATCGTCTGCTTTAAAAGCTAAGGAATCGAGATCGATTAAGGTCTTCACATCTAGAGAAATCTCCTCCATATCATATCTTGAAAAAGTATCAGGTACTATATTCTGGGTTCCTTTACGGTGCTCTATTTCAAAACAATATGCCTGCAACTGTAGGCTCCATCTAGCTAACCTTCCGCTCAGATCTCGATGTGACATGAGCCACTTTAAACTGTGCTGTTTTCGGGTATGTAAACTTCACTATTGTTTCCACCTTTGCCGGATCAGTTTTAAGTTTGCCACCTCCAACAATGTAACCCAAGTACCTAAGCTCTTTGAAGCAGAACTTCGACTTGGTTACATTTATTGTGAGTCCTGCTTTAGCCAAACAACCTGCCACCTGCTCTAGCAATCCCATGTGAGTGTCGAAGTCTGGCGAAACAACCAAAAGATCATCCAAGTAGACGAAAACTCTATCACGTAGTGCGCCAGGGATCACTTTATCCATTAAACGGCATAACCTTTGGGCTGCATTGCACAGACCAAAGGGCATGACGGTAAATTGGTAAAGCGGTCGTCCCGGCACTGTGAATGCAGTTTTCTCTCTACTTGAAGGATCCAGTGGAATTTGCCAGAACGCATCCTTCAGGTCGACACTAGAAATAAAATAGGTATCCCCCAGCCGACTGAGTAAACCTTCTATATGCGGCAATGGATAGGCGTCCTTGACCGTCAGTGCATTGAGTTTGCGAGCGTCCAGGCACAAACGGTTCTTTTCGCCCCTTCGGACTAGAGTAACCGGATGACTCCATGGACTCTCGCTCTCTTCAAGCACACCTAGCTCTATCATCCTATCCAATTCCGCATACATAAGTTTCTGCACAGCCGGGGAAACGGGATAATGCCTTTCTTTCACCGGGGTTGCATCGCGGGTGTCGATTGAATGGACCTCAGCTTTAGTCTTTCCCAAGCCATACTTGGTAAAGGAAATTTGTCCTTCACTATTTGCAAACGAACTCGTTGCTCCTCGGACAAAGAATGGCTGTTAACATCACTGATCTCCGG